AATTGTGTTAACTTATAAGTTCACTTATAATTTCATAACGAATTTTTTAAGATTTTAATTAGGCTCACAGCCTTGAATTTTAAAACGAAACCGCACGTTATACAATTAAACAATACAATTATAACAAAATTATATACTATGAAAAATTAATATTAATCTTTAGACATTATTCGACGCATTAGATCTGCATTTTTCCGGTTTGCGGTCATCATCTTTGGCGCTGAAAGTTGTTTTTAAAGGTCAGCGAACGTCGTAAAAAAAAAAAGAAAAAAAAAAGAACAATCAGGGAGAAGAACAATAAATTTGTTTGGAAATTTCATGATTCTCCGAGCACATTCTCTCGGGGCGTATTCTCCACGATGGGTGGACTTTCCGTAGATGGCGACGTCGCGCGTACTGTCGTTTTCTCAGCTCTCGCGATTGTCGTGCACCTGTCATTGATTGCACGCGTTAGAAGGTTTACTTATGTAAATGCCCCGTAAGTGTCTTTAGGAGAGCAGGGAGTTGCGAAAGGAGTGGCCGCCGCGCGCGAGAAAACGCGCCCCGAGAAATCGTAATTCCTTTCTTATGGCTCGGGCGCGAGCCGCCTACCGCGCAACGCTTTACCTCCTATCTGCCCGAATACGACTGATTACAAGTAGCGAGTTTAACGATGCCCATAAATCTCCCGTACAATGTTAAGAGGCGTTAAAGACCGCGATATCGGGCGCGCATGAGCTCCGTACTCGAAACGTTACGCCGCACATTTCGATTAGAGCCAACACGCGGTGTCCGCGGTTATCGGCTACCGTAGTGTAAAAAAAAAAAAAATAAAGATAGTCGTTATGTTATATCTTTATATCTTTCATCACACAAACCTGCTCCTTTTGATTTGCATTTACGACATAATCACGGAAGGACTGCCGTTTGACGTAGTTAGCATGCTATAATATAGGAATGCGCATATCAGATTTATTAATGCCGGACTTCATCGATAATATTTTTAACTTTAATTTTAATTTAAAAGGAAAGGAAATGGGAAAAAACAAAGAGCCAGAATTAGAGCTTAGAATTAATTTTGAATTTAAATTGAAATCCAAGTTATTAAAGCCAAAGAAAGAAAGACAATTACATGTAATTGCATATAATGAATTTTAATAAAAATACAAAATGTAAAATATATTTATAAAAAATTATAAACGAAAACTATATATAAATAAATTATATAAATAGGTTTTTTTTAATGTAAATTAAGGAAATATATTTGTGTGTTTCACATAACTACTTTGTCATCGTAACAAAGTTAAGAAATTGTTTGTAACCTTAGCCTGCACTCGAATATGTTCCGTAACGCTGGGAAAGAGAACATATTTCGGACAAAAACCATTGTATGTATTACTGACTTGGCTTGTTTTTTTTTTTTTTTTTTTTTTTTTCAACGTTGAAGAGGAAGCGCAAACGAAGGAACGTGTAAATAAGGCGAGACGAAAAAACGCGTTGCGGAATGAACGCAGTCGTGCACTACATAAGAGCGATGATACATGGCCACTGTGCAACGATGTGCCTCATTGTTGCACGGAGGGATTCGTTTCGTGTTCCCTAAAATCCATGCTACAACGGTAGACTAAATATCGTACGTGCATTTGTCAGTTTTCTTGGAATTTTATTTTTTCCCAAGCTATACTTTGCTCTTTCCAAATTCAATAAAAATATAGAAGTAAAATGTTAGGATTTTTTACAAGAAGTTAACAAGTATTATCACAACGTTACTTAAAGATAAAAATTTATTTATAAACTGTCGCAAATTGAGTACAGTACAGTTTTACTTAAAAAAGTGTCTTAATCGATCTTATTATGTTTCAATTTCTTGTCAATTGCAATTTTAATTATGTATAATGTGCATAGTTCCTTTCCTACGTAAATTTAACTTAAACTGCCCTTTCTCACATTATCTGGGTCGTGATACAATACGTGGTCCGTCACACGTAGTCAAAATCCTGGTCAAAAATTTTTGACATTTTTGACCCAAGCAGGAAAACTCCGAATTAGTAAAGAACCGACAATCACTGAACATTCCTATTCTTGTAAGCGGACAACTTAGTCGGTGGCAGTTAGTCCACAAAGAGATGTGATAAACGGAAAAAGATGACGAAGGAAAAGGAAAAGTAGACCTGAGAAAAGTTTCACGAATAGTTTCATGAAAAGAATATTGACCTGAGCACTATAAACAACGGCAGCCTGGTACTGTCTAAAGGTCGGCCTAAAGGAAATTGAGGTAAAAAAGGTACAGATGCAGCGGAAAGGCGAAAAGGAAAGGAAAAAGATATAGGGAAAAGCTTATAGGAATGTGCTTGTAGTCGGGCGTTGAAATATAGTCCTGTACCTAACGATGATCTATTCTAGGTCCTAAAATCTATTCTAGGTTACTACATTCTAAAATCTATTTTAGGCTCTTTGCACAGACGGAGACACACAAAGAAAGCATCCCTCAATCCTACCCCTCGGTTCTTCCCTCGGATCTTTCAAGGTCATATAGAGACCTGCCAGGCCTCTTGCAAGATGAACAGAGTATGTCTTGAACAGCTGTTTGTTCAAGATGCTAGACGCGCGACCTAAAGACGCAGACGCAAAATGTAGGGACATTGACAGAAAAGACACCTACGCTTTCGAGAAGATGTGGAGGTGGGATGACGGTGACGAGGTGAAAAGATTTGTGTGGTCGTGCTTTTTGAAAGAATCGTAAGCGCATACCTGGTACAATGCATACCTAGCACAGCTGCGTGCCTACAGATTCTCTGGATTTCATGATACACCTTGTATACACAGGTACAATATACCTTTGCTCGTAGCTAGGTAGGTAGATAAAGATAAAAATAAGGGTAGGGAGGGTAGGGATAGGGTAGGTAAGTAGATAGTAGGTAGACAGATAGGTAGGTCGGTCGGCAGATAGGTAAGTCCCCAGTACTTCCGAAATATTGCCAGGTATAAGAGCTATTGTCCTCTCGTAAATATATAAGTAAACACACGCATCGTATGTACATGTACGATGAATTGTATGGAGAACCGCCCTTGACCCAGCGATACTAGCTTCGAAGGGACGTATAAAACGGTCCATTAAATACGACGTTCTTGCGATTGGATATGATGTAGATTAATAAAAAATGTGAGCGAGAACGTAATAAAAAAATACAGTTATATTATTTAGTTATACTACTTTCTAATTTTTGCTTTAAATTTATTAATAATATATTGTGGCATATTATTAATAAATTTATAGTGAATAGCAAATAAAATTAATAAATTTCATCTCAGAGATCGATTTTTAATGGAAACAGATATTAAATAATTGAAATTTTTTTTTGATGATGGAAAGTCATTCGAGAACTTATAATACCACTACACAAATTGTGAATAAAACAAATCTCAAAAATAAAATAGTGGTCTATGTAGTAGTTATGTAATATATCACAATTTAAATAAAATAATTTTGTTCATGATCAAATTTCGTAATCTACATTTGAGATATCTTATATGATAAACGCAATAAAATTTGTTTTCAAAGCTAATTATTTTAACGTAAACTAAAGTATCACGATTTATGTCTAAATTAATAAAAAATGATGAAATTATTAATGATTATTTGACTAGAAAATAATTTTATCATTTGATTGACTCATTCATCAGCGTTGACATCTGCAAAAATTCCAGGAAACGGAATGCGCGTTCACTTTAAAGAATTCTCGAGACGAGTTCATTGAACCTTTGTACGGTAGACAACCCATTAAAGACTGGTTAATGTGGGTGTAATAACGCGGGATGCGGAAGGGTTCGAGGTAAAAAAAGCGCAAGGCTCGATAAAGTGTTAAGACGAAAAAAAAAAAAAAAAAAAAATATTGAACTCTGATAAAGTCTCTCTTGATCAGCAATGTGAGGGAGAATCTAATTCTTTTGTAAAAGTCTTGTTGCCTTTCTAAAAAAATGTAAAAAATAAAAAATTGGCGGGCAACCATGTAAGCAAGAGCATTAAACATTTATGCTTGTAACAAGAACAAAGAAATTTCACAGTTTAAAGAGAAAAAATAATAATTTAATAAAATAATAATAAATTAATAATATAATAATAAAAAATTAATAAAATAATAAAATTTATTAATGTTACAAAATTTTTTTTTATGTTTATTTATAAGTAACACATAATAATAATTCATGATATATTTAATGAATTGTGTCGACACATAAAGCTCTCAAAAATGCTAAGAAACAAAATAGTTGTTATTCCGTTAATAGCAGATTTTTTAATTTGCTATTACTGACACCAGTATTATTTTCCCGTTTTAGAATGGGTAATAATACTGACATAAATGACATATCGAAGTGATATCGTGTGTTGGAAATACCGCGCTTGGAAATACGAAAGGAAAACCACATACACATACGTAGGTACGTCTTAATGATGAAGGCGCGAATAGCTGGCTTAGTTTCGTTAGAAAGGTTTTAAAGTCCAAGAACAGGAGATTGACAGGCATAGTCGAGCATATAACGTGCATTACCTTTCCATAGGTCAATCGCTCATAAATCATAAAGAGACGCGATGAAATACAAGGCATCGTAGAACGATCGCTAAATTAATACATAAAATCTTGCGTCTAGGCGTGCGTGGGATCTATATTTTTAAAGATAAATAATAACCCATAAATGATAATTGAGATTAATGTACACACATGAGCGCGTGCACGCGTGCACGCACGCACGCACGCACGCACGCACGCACGCACGCATGCACGCATACATATGTAACGATGTAAATTTTTTGTTTCCTGCACCGTTAAGCTCCGCACTCCTAATAAAATCCAGGTACGAGAAAACCCGTCAAAGTCGACGATCGTCGAAATATCCGATCATCGTCGATTTTATCCGAACATCCTTGATGAAAACGACGGAATTCTTTGTATTCTTCCCGATCTTAACCGAAAGCGGGATCGAGCTTCGTATAAAAAGGGACCTCCGACCGATGGAGGGTCCACTCAACCGTGGACCAGCACTCATTCCGAACCGACGTTTCGAGAATCCTCAAGAGATTTCTCGAAATCAATCAGTCGAATTAATTTCGCTAATTCATTCCGATTTTCGTAAAATAAAAAGGTTAGCGAGACCAAGAGGTTGCGAGTACACTGCCTCCGAGCATTAATTATTACTGATATTACAGGTATTATTGGCAGCCGACCGAAATCCGCTGATCGGATAACATCATGCGAGGTTACGTGTTTGTCATCTCGACCAAGTTTTGCCAGATATAAGAACAACCGGGATAAATTCACATCTGCAGTTTAGGACAAGCAAGAAGACCGCGCGTCTGCCAGGTTTGTGCTATTCTGTCAATCCGGATGATGGCGAGAGAACGAGATGACGAATTCGCCACCCCCCGTCAGGCATTTCTGATCACACCTCCACTCCTGCACTTATCTGCACTTATTCTACTGTGCAACTCATTCGGCTAATACAAATCGCGAGCGCGTATCATCGATCCGCCTTACATACGTGAGCCACCCCGCGAAAAACGCGTTTGCGGAGCCAGTCCCGACACCTGGCGAACCAATTAGCGAGCATACGCGACGTACGTCCAAATCGGCGAAATATCGCGAGCCTGTAATAACTCAGCGAACTGTCATCGATCCGCGATCTAGTGATCCGAGAATTAGTGCGCTCTGCACATCCACGCCGATACCCGCATTGTTGTCACACCTCGATTTCGCATATACAAAATCTACGCTTTCACAATTACGCATGTATATTAACTTGGCACAATCATTTCATCATAATTAAATGTGACTTACATGTAAATTAATTGCTAATTTTTTGCTAATTAATTGCTCTATTCTTAATTTTATTGCTTCAGCCGATTTGTCAAAATCAATGGCTATGTTAGCTTAAGGTTAAAATTAGTGCAGTCATTGATTTTAGTATCGACTGGAGCAAAAAAAAAAGACGGAAATAGAGCAATTAATTAGCAAAAAAATAACAATTAATTTATAAGTCGCATTCGATTGTGCTGAAATGGCTATGCCATCTTAAGAACATCACAATTATATCTGAGCTATATATTTTCTTTTATTTCAAGATTAATAAATTATCATTTCTTTATTACTAACAAAATACACAGATTCTCTTACATCTTTCGCATCCTGGAACTTGGTGAGTTTATTCCGCTTGTAACAATAAAAAACAAATATACCGGCGAATTTTGACGAATCGTTTTATACAGACAGATAGACAGATAGACAGATAGACGTCTGAAATATCGTCTGGAGAATCACCGAAATGTCGCGAAAAGAAAGACACGAGATCCGCGTATCCTTTTACTTCATTTATCGATGATTTAATTCTATTTTTATCAGCGTGAGATATGTTCTCACGTATATCTCCATACCGTCGCGATCCAGAAGCGATTGACGTAATCGTTGTGCATGCGAGTTCTCATTGGAACGAGACCGCGGCAGGCTCGTGATCGTGAAGTTCGGCGCGAGAATGTGTCGGGCGCGTGCTCGTTGTTCCTTTCGCGCGAGTACACGCGCGGACACCGCGGATCGCGCGCCGCGATAAGGCGAGTCGCGTGCCGATCGCTTCCGCGTTTTG